ACATATTGGCGGCCCACCGTAGTCATGTTCATCGACATCAAAGGGGCTTTCGATTTCATTGATTGCTGTGCTCTTTGGAATGGTCAGCTCAGGAAAGGTGTGCCCGAGGAATATGTAAATATTATCCAAGCATTATACGCGCGTAGCTTGGGCAGAATGAGGGCTTGCGGCAAGTTGTCGTCGTCCTTTAATATCCCCAGTGGTGTGAGACAAGAATGCCCGCTGTCACCTTTCCTCTTCAACATCACTATTGACGGAGTCATGGAGATTTCATTTACAGGACATAACTTGGAAGGTGTGGAGCTACTCCCAGGAGAACGACTTCATGACTTGTGTATGCAAACGACATTGCTCTCATCTGTGACAGCTCCCAGACGTGCCGAGCCGCGCTGGACAGATCAGCACTGGCTGTCAGCAGCTTCAGGCTTTGCTTTGTCCCATCAAAATGCAAAGCGTTTCTCCAAGATTGGCAGCGATCGCCTCCTGCGCTGAGCCTTGGTGAGTATCAGCTAGAAGTCGTTCGTCAATTCAACTACCTGGGAAGTTGTATCAGCACCCTTGGGATCGAAGACGAGATCACGAACCGTATAGCGAAAGCTCGGAGTGCTTTTGCTAACCTTCGCCACCTATGGCGGTGGCGCGACATTACTCTCGCCCTGAAGGGTAGAGTGTACAATGCAGCGGTACGTTCGACCTTACTGTACGGTTGCGAAACCTGGCCCATTAGATCAACCGACATGAAGAGGCTAGCTACGTTCGACCATCGGTGCCTTCGCAGTTTGGCTCACATCTGGTGGGAACACCGCGTGAGTAACGAGCGTGTTCGACGCATTGTTTACGGCCCAGGAAAAGGATCTGAACCGCTCAGCACCGTCAGTTCACGCACCAGGATACGATGGCTGGGCCACGTGTTGCGCATGCCAGCCCACCGACTTACACGACGTGCGTTGTTTGCTCACCGGGGATGTGGATAGAAGAAGAGGAGGGGCGGCCAAGCGATGAATTGGTCGAGAGGAATGAAGGCCCTCACTTCGGTGCTGGCCTCGGTTGGAGCTTATCGGCTCCCTGGTTAGGATGCAAAAGACCATGAAAACGTTTGGCTGGATATACTTGCTGACATGGCAAGGAGCCGACCTCAGTGACGTTCCTACTGTGAGTTTCTTTGTCCCACATTATCCCTTTTAGCTTCCCCCTCCATCTACGATCTCATGTCATAGTGTACAACATAATAAAAAATTTTCTTTTTGCCTACTAGCCGGCTGATAGTTTACCGGAACGATGCCTATCCGTTGCTGGTAGCTCAGCTGGCATGCAACTGTTGTATTTATTTTCCTTTTTCATTTATGTATTGCGGCACAGTAGCTGAGATGTTTCCCACCTCTAGCTGACGTGTATAATGATGAAGAAGATGATGACGACACATGAAACGAAGGAACTCGCTAAAATGCTGCATCACAGAACAAATGGCCACTCCCTATTGATTGATGGACTGGTTAATGCAGACGGACAGTCCATTCATGATCGAGCCTAAGTCTGCGAAGCGTTTAGCTCATCTTGTAGCAGTCTGGAGATTCCCCGGTTTGCTTGTGTAAAATTCTAACCAAAATTCTATAATTGTACACCTAGGCAACCGGTGTGGTTTGTTGAACTGCTTGCTGAGTTCGAATGCTTTACTTGCTCATCGCCATTTTTGCTTGGCGCTCGTTTCGGTTGCAACGCGAGACTGCCCTGTGTGCTGTGCTTGCTCCATTCCCCTAGCTAGAGCGTCCACGGTGTCGTTCATTTATAGCTAGATAACAGGGAATCTTTTACTGTACCAATAAAAGTTTCCCTGCAACTCGATCTGTCTTCTGGAATCGCTCTCTGGGCTCCCGGTACAGGCGACCCTCTAAATTGGTGACCCCGGATCCGGAACAATCTCAACGCCGGATATTTCGAACTTCTCTCCGGTGAGCTCGTTCCATTTATTTTTCATATTTTCCGGGTTTTTTTGCATACGGTATCCTATTTTTTGCGTCATTGTTTAAGCCATGGATTCTGTAGAACCTAAGGTAGAGTCTATGCTTAGCGTTGTATCTCTCTCAGTTCCACCTTTTTGGGACATGGATCCTGTTTTGTGGTTCGCTCATCTTGAGGCTGAGTTTTATAACCACAGAATCACTTCCGACTACGCGAAGTATTGCAAGCTCCTGTCCTATCTCCCCAAGGAGATATCAATGCAGGTTCGTGACGTCATCATTTCTCAGACCGAAAACCGCTATGAGGCTCTCAAGGAGGCCACGATTAAGCGTGTTATGCCCTCTGAGAAAGTTCGCCTGCAGCAGCTTTTCAGGGATCTGAAACTGGGCGACAAACTGCCCTCAACCCTGCTACGAGAGATGCAGCAACTCCTTGGTTCTTCAACCATGGATGAGACGTTACTTCGCGAACTATGGCTACAACGGCTACCGGAAAACACGCAAGCGATTCTCGCTACAGTGAGCTCCGTTTCGCTCACTCAACTAGCAGATTTAGCGGATCGAGTTATTGAACGATCACAGCCACAACCCGACGCCAGCAAGATCAATGCCGTCGCGTCCCAGGGCACTTCTATCACTGGCTTACAGTCAACTATAGAAGCCCTCCAAACACAAGTTGCGACACTTAGTCGCCAGGTGCAACAGCTTACTATGAACCCTCGTCGTCATAGCCGATCAAAATCGCCCTGCAAACGTTCTAAGTCTAGAAACAGGCAGGCTAGCTGTTGGTACCACCAGCGTTTTGGTACCGCAGCTCGTAAATGTGTCAAGCCTTGCAACTTCGCCGAGAAGCAGGGAAACTTCTCGGCCGGTCCGTAACGGCGACGGACGCGATCGGCCCACACCAAAGTCGCCTCATCCGTGTTAGGGATTTAACTTCCGGCACCGAGTTTCTAGTCGACACTGGTGCCGAAGTTAGCGTCATACCCCGTAGCTCAGATGAGGTCGTCTCACCATCGCCGACCAAGCTGCGTGCCGCCAATGGCACACCAATCGCAACTTTCGGCGAAAAGTTGCTAACACTCAATTTAGGCCTCCGGCGAACCTTTCGCTGGCCTTTCATAATCGCTGCTGTGCCTTTCGCCATCATAGGCATAGACTTTCTGCAACGCTTCGACCTCATCGTCGACGCTAAAAGGAAGAAGCTTATCGACTCTAGGACACAACTCAGTGTTATCGGGACTAGCGCCAACGTGGCTGCTATCACTCCCATTCGTGTCCTACCTCAAGCTTCACAACCTTTTATAGAACTTTTCAACAAGCATCCTAACCTCGTTCGCATCCTGAACGACTTGCCTCCTGTGACGTCAAACGTCATGCATTACATTTGCACTAAGGGCCCACCTGTTTCGGCCCGCCCTCGCCGACTAGCCCCGGACAAGCTCAAAGCTGCTAAGGCGGAATTCGAGCAAATGCTCGAACTGGGAATCATCCGCCCGTCCAAAAGTCCATGGGCATCACCATTACACATGGTGCCTAAGAAATCCGGTGACTGGCGCCCCTGTGGTGACTACAGGGCACTTAACAAAGTTACCGTCCCGGATAAATACCCTATTCCGCACATGCATGACTTGACCTCAGCTCTAGCTGGCAAGTCTATCTTCAGCAAAGTCGACTTAGTTCGTGCCTACCACCAGATACCTGTCGCGCCAGATGACATTGCTAAAACAGCAGTCATCACGCCATTTGGCCTATTCGAGTACCTCAGAATGCCTTTCGGCCTCAGCAACGCTGCCCAAACTTTTCAGCGTTTCATTCATGAGGTAACGCGAGGACTCGAAGGCGTTTATCCTTATTTAGATGACATACTCATCGCCAGCTCTTCTGACGAGGAGCATCTTCGTCACCTCGACGCTCTCTTCCAGCGCTTAACACAGCATGGGGTTACCGTCAACCCCGATAAATGCGAGCTTGGCCAAAGTTCCATCGACTTTCTTGGCCACCGCATATCCGCCTCTGGTATCGAAGCTCTGCCAGACAAAATCCAGGCACTGAAGGACTATCCTGCTCCCAGTTCCTTCAAGCAGTTACGCCGATTCCTTGGCCTGGTCAACTATTATCGACGCTTTATCCCTAACTGCGCGAGCATTGTTCAACCAATGACTGACTTGCTCCGCGGTAAACAACGGTCTTTTCACTTTACAGACGACGCTAGACTGTCTTTCGAGAAGCTCAAAGACGCTATCTCCAACATAGCGCTTCTCGCCCATCCAGACACATCTGCACCACTCTCCCTGACAACTGACGCATCCGACACTGCCGTCGGTGCAGTTCTTCAGCAACTCATCGACCATCGATGGATACCTCTAGGTTTCTTCTCAAAGCGCTTACAACCTGCCGAATCGCGATACAGCACCTTCGGTAGGGAACTGTTAGCTATCTACCAAGGTATCCGACATTTTCGTCACTATCTCGAAGGTCGACATTTCACCGTCTTCACTGACCACAAGCCATTGCTCTACGCAATCAATGGTGCGACAGACAAGTATTCTCCGCCGGAAACTAGACACCTAGACTACGTTTCTCAGTTTACGACAGAAGTACGACATGTCTCAGGTGCTCTCAATCCCGTTGCGGATGCGATTTCACGCATTCAGCAGATCAGCTTATCGCCTGGCACCAACATTGATCTAGCTGCTATGGCTGCTGCCCAACAAGCTGATCCCGACATAAGCAAGCTACGACGCAACACTACTGAGACGATCACCATTGATCGGGTCAAGCCAGCATTCTTCGACAAGTCTGACTCTTCGGTGCAACAAGCACCTTCACAGCCTGTGCCATCACAGCTGGCACCGCAACCTCAGACGAGTCAGTCCGCTCCAGCAGAACCTACAACCTCAACCGACAGCACTCCTACTCGCCCTACTGTCAGTCGACGCGGTAGGAAGCTCAAACCTCCAGTTCGATTTTCGGACTTCATTAGCACTTACTATTTTACATAGAACGTGCCTTTAAAATTTTCTGCTCTTACTAAACGTTTTTGAAAATCCACAAAAAAAGACCAAAACGTTTTGAAATTACCAAAAAAGAGCAAAATCTTTTGAAAACCCAAAAACAGCTTAGCACGTTTTTCGCTTTACACTGTTTTGTGTATTGCTTTGCATTTATGCTGCTTTTTCATTTGGTTTTCCATACACACCGTTGGTTGGTTGCACCTCGGTTTCACTTTCCGCTGGATCCCCGCACGTCAACTGCAAGTGGAATGAACTTCCTGCTCAACTGCCCACGTGAACTTTATTAACTGTCCCCCCCTACAAACAGTTTTTTTACCGTTTCGACACCGTAGGGAGGACACGGGTGGGAGCCCGCTAGGGTCCGATTGCATGGTTCTCCCCCAGCAGCTGCATCAGGTTGCACAACCTGGTCTCGCAGAAGGCTGGCCCGCGACGGACAGTCCTCACGTAGATCGAAGGACTGCTTACACAGTCCCTTCTGGGAGAGGGCTATGTAGCAGTCTGGAGATTCCCCGGTTTGCTTGTGTAAAATTCTAACCAAAATTCTATAATTGCACACCTAGGCAACCGGTGTGGTTTGTTGAACTGCTTGCTGAGTTCGAATGCTTTACTTGCTCATCGCC